CCACCCCCCTCCCCCCTTACCCTCTGGTAACCACTAAACTATTGTCTGTGAGTTTTTGTTTCTTCATTTGTTTGTCTTGTTCCTTTGTTGTTTTCAGTTTTATATCGCACCTGTCAGTGAAATCATATGGTTCTTGACTTTTTCTGTCTGACTTATTTCACTTAGCATAATAATCTCAAGATCCATTCATGTAGTAACCTGTGGGGTTTTAAAAACACAGGTATCTCTTCATCTTAATACTTTAATTCTCTTTCCATCTGGATATTGTTTAAGTATTGCAACAGTTAGACAGTTAACACAGAAAGGTATCGTTCCACTCACGGTGTCGTGTTCTGTTGTCTACCCAGCATCTCTTTAAGGCTGTGTCGGGGAGGCCAGCAGCCTCTTTCACACTGAGCAACAAAATCCTGGAGCAGTGACTGTGAGCCCCACTGTCAGATGTGAAATGTAGGCAGAGCAGGAGCAAAAGTGGGAGAGAAAGAAAGGAAAAGGGACAAATGAGTGCCCGTTGTCAGCAAGATGAGATCAGAGGCTAAACGGAGACAGTGACAAACGACCAGGCTGCCTGCCCCTCCTCGGTTGTTGGGGGGAGCTCCCGCTCCTCCATTTCAGCTGTAGAAGAAAATCCTCATCCAGGATTTAAGGTTCTGCTGAACTGAAGGTTCATATAACTGAACTGGCGTTACCAGCTTCTCCTAAAGGAGGGTGGGGAAAATGCTAGGGGTGTCAGCTAACGCTGTTGATTGGAGGCAACCGATCCACCTGTCTCTTACTATCATAAGCAGAGGACCTTACACAGCATGGGAGGAAAGGTGGTGGACTAGACTGGGTGACATTAGAACCAAGGAGAGCGGGGTCCCAACAAGCTGAGGGACAACTGCCCCTTTTAGCAGCCTAGGCAGGATGCCGCCTGTGGCTGCTGGACGTCACTGTCTGTGCCCGATTCAGAGTCCGGAGCAAAGCATCCTCTTGGCCAAGCCTAGGCCACCCAGACGGCTTGCCAGCAAGTGGAGCGAGCTGTCCGCCTTGGCTTTCATGGGGGGGGGAGTGCCTTGTGTGACTCCAGGTGTCCACTTCTGGTGTCCACTGCTCCTGGGAGGGCTGGGTGCTGGGCCCCCAGCACGGGGGTCAGGGAAAGGCAGCTGCAAGGGATGCCAGAGGTGCTGGCATGGGCCTGTGGCCTTAGGACAGAAGAGGCTAAGGGTACAAACGGTGTTCATTTTGATAAAGTCCAAATTATCCGTTTTTTAGTTTGTCATTTTGCTTCTGGTGTCCTATGTAAGAAGGCTTTGCCTAGCTCAAGGTCATGGAGATGGACTCCTATATAGTCTTCTAAGAGTTTCAGAATTTTAGCCTTTATGTTGAGGCCTGGGCTTCATTTTGAGTAGAGCCAAGTGAGTTTTTGTACATGGTGTGAAGAAGGGATTGTTAACTCTTTGAAGCAGCAATAATGGATGTTTGGTGGCAGCACATGAAGAGTGAATAACATGGATTGACTTTTTTGCTCATTTTGAACTACATTTTCCAGGGGTCCACCCTCAACTTCTGAGTTCTTTCTATCTCTGTTTTCCTTTAAATGTTTTGGGCTGTTGGGTATTAAATTATTATACCAGGGCTTTCAACACATTTGGATTAATTGTGCATGGTACACAGGGCCTTATTTAAGGGGGCAACTCCTACATAACCATCCTAAGCTATTCATTTAGTTCTATAATTAGAATGATAAAGTTTAGCTATTTATTTATTATTTAACATTATTTAGAGATATTTATGTTTCACGCTGGACAAAGTAATCTGTACTGCCAGGAGTCACATTTTAGGAGCGAGCAAATTATTTTGTGTAACAATTATTATAGCGATATCAAAAGAAACTCTAACTCACTGTCATTTCTATTTGTTTCCTGAGTCCTAGTCTGTTAAATTGGGAGCCAGTAAAAGAATCAACACGCTGAGGCAGACTTCTAGGAAAAATACCTTTGCCTTTACAGGAGTACCTCATTATGATGAGGTGAGGAACAGGCCTGGGACAGAGACACTCTTGTCCTTTACAGAGAGCCTCGTCTGGCTCGGTTTCTGAGATCGTTGGGAGCTTGAATTTTAGCTGGAGTGGTACTCAGAGTCTTGTGCCTGCCCTTGTTCTGAGCCCTATCTGGCAGCTTTCCTCTCTGAATTCCTTCTTTTGGTCACTTATGTCAGAGGGCCCAGGCAACCGAGCTTCAATTCCCAGTGCTCATACCAAAGCGTGTTCATCCCTCTTTCCTAACAACTCTCCCGTCAGTTCTCAGCCCCTCTGCCCAAGCCCAGACCCACGCCAGTCCCACTCAGCTGTAAGCTCCCCGAAGTCTGGGGTTCTCCCCTTCCTTTCTGTAGCCCCAAAGCCTGATGACAGACTGGAAGTATTCGATGAAGCTTTCTTGATGATCTTTACTCCACATATTTGTACAGCTTTGCAACTGGGACTTACCCTTCCTCGGGGTAGAAATGATAGTAAAATGATTAATATATGAAAAAGAAGGCAGCCTTCTTCCTTCTCCCACACAAGCCTCACAGGTGTGGGTGGGACTGAGGTAGTGCTACTTGGGATGAGCCTGTCTCTGAACAGTGGGTGAGAGATGGAATGAGGTAGGGAATTATCTCACCAGGGTTCACTTGCTGGTTTTGGTATGGATTTTGCTGAAGGGTCTTGGGGTCCACACTCTGCAATCCTTCCTCATCTGAAGCTGGATCTTATGTGTCATCTCACGAATGATGTCATCATCATATTTAGTCCCCTGATGCCACTGCCCACATTCAAGTCTCCCCATTTCTGACTGCATCTCGTGTGTTAAGCTCCTGGCTGCTCTCCAGCCTTTCTCCTGAAATGTATTCCATGCCACTGCCAGCTGAGCTGCCATGTTTGTGCCTGGCTGGGGACGTGTGGGGTTGAAGCCCAGCTCTCATTCCAATGCGTAGAAATCTGCCCAGAAAGGGCACCATCCTCTAATTGGCATGAAAACAAAATATGGGCTCATGGAGGACCTGGTTGCCAAAGCGACCTTTCTAAAATATCTGACCACTTTACTCTTGGACATAATACTCTTCAGCTAAAGCCCAAGCTCCTTAGCAGGCTCCCTATGACCAAGACTGACCTGTCTCCCCAGCTTTTTGATGAGAGTGACCATATGATGCACTTCTGAAAGAAAAGGGGTGCTATTAATAATTATGCCAGGAGCATAGATTGAAGCTGGGTGCCTATGGGTAACCCACCAGTTCACACCTGGGATTTGTATGCTATAGTATTATAGTACCAAACCGCACTGGTTTGTTCCAGGGACACCATGCTATCTACAAGTCAAGAGGTTCTGATAGAGTTATTTTGACCACCCTGTTTTGAATCTGAGGATAGTTGACTCCTTCCTCTGATTAATTTTTTTTTTTTTTTTTTTTTAGCTGAGCTATCCTGCCACCTGTTGGCAGCTCAGCTCGGGCTGGGAATCGAACCGGTGACCCTGTTGCTCAGAGCTCGCACTCTTGAGTGAGCTCTTAACCAACTGAGCCACTCGGCTGGCCCTCTCTGATTAACTTTTAAAAAATGGAATCCAAACATCCTTAAGGTCAAAATGGCAAGATTAAAATGCTCAAAGCCTAAACCATGAGATTATGTTTCTGGTTCCTTGATTATAGTACTTTCTCTCCTTAAAACTTCTAGTCCCTTCTCCCACTTTCCTGCCATTCCCTGGTTTGTTTCCACATATTGTTCAAGGCACCTCAAGGATCCTCTGTTCTAGTTATCTCTCCCTGACACTTCCTGGCTGGTTGAGTGCCTGTCATCTCATTCCCACAGCACCCTGTATATAACTCTTTTTACTGTATCTAAAAAAAGTACCGGGCCAGCCGAGTGGCTCAGTTGGTTAAGAGTTGACTTAAGAGTGCGAGCCCTGAGCAACAGTGCCACCGGTTCAATTCCCACATGGGCCAGTGACACTGCGCCCGAGCTAAGCTGCTGCTGAGTTGCCAACAGGTAGCAGGATGGCTCAGCTGGTATAACAACAAGACTGCCTGTTCAATGGTGGGCTATGCCCGCCGGCAACTAAGACTGAACTCGGCACCTTGAGCTGAGCTGCTGCCCCAATGGCTCAGTGAATAGAGCGTGCGCTCTTAACAACAAGGCTGCGGTTCAACTCCCGCATGGGATGGTGGCTACACCCACCTGCAACTAAGATTGAATACAGCACCTTGAGCTTAGAGGCCACAAGCTGCCGACGGGCAGCCAGATGGTGACTGGACTTGGAGCTGAGCTAGCTGCGCCCTCCACAACTAAGATTGAAGAACAACAACTTGGCTGGTCCCCTTCCCCAATTCCCCAACACTGTTCCCCTCCCCCAATTCCCCAATTTAAAAAAAAATGTCAAAGTTGCCTGTTCAGGCCTGCCTTGCCCACAAAACTAGCAGGCCCTTCAGGCAAGAACACTTTTTAATCTTTGAATCCTCAGTGTGACTACTGTGCTTGACAAGTAGTAGAATCTCAATAAATATTTGTTGATATGGACTAATTGGAGTATCTTATTATAATATGAACTTTAATGTGCTTGTTCTTTATTTCCTAGAGTTCTTAAGATTCTCCTGAAGATTTGTATTTATTTGGAGCTTTCACGAGGTTGACCTTTGGCATATTGAAGTTGTACAGATTATTGTTACATTATTCTTCATACCATAGAATCATATAAGAGGAAGGTACACACCCAAAATATTAACATGTGTTGTATAGGAAGTGTGAACACTGGTGTGTTAAACTTCAGCTTGTCATACCATGGCCAAAATTCTTCTGAGAGTATCAGCAGAGTAATTCTTATTTTAATGCAATAAAGAGTCATGAAACCCATTAAATAATAGTAGTTTGTTCTTGACTTTTTTTTTTCAGAACTCTCTGGTTTAGGTATTTTGAGTAAAGGTGCTGAATGTCATCTCAATTTGAAGTATTTGTCTTACAAGTCTAACGTGTTATTTTTCCATCCCTCTAGAATGTTTCAGACATTTAAAGAATGGTTTTGGTTGGAAAGATTCTGGCTTCCTCCAAAAGTAAAGTGGTCAGACCTCGAAGATCATGATGGACTCGTCTTTGTAAAACCCTCTCATTTATACATGACAATTCCATGTGCTTTCGGCTTGCTTATTATCAGACATTTATTTGAAAAGTAAGTAATGTTTGTGTGTCTTCCCTTCCCCTTTCCCTCCTTTGCCGCAACTCTAGAATAATAGAATCTGGGTAAGATCCTTAACAAACCTGTTGTTCAGAGGTTGCCACTGACGACAAGCTCCAGATTCTTGGGGGGAGTTCATGAGACCAAACGCACACCGAACGTTATTTAGAAGCTGAACAAATGAAAAGGAGAAACACGATCTCCTGAAGTCCTGTAGTTTTACTGTAAAGAAAATTCAGCTCGAGAGGCTAAGGATCGCAGAGCTTATCAGTGTGACAGTGTGGGAGCCCAGTTCATCTTCCGTACGCCATGCTGTCTGACTAAGGAGACGCATTCCCAGAAACGCAGTGTTAGAGGAGTCTAAGACCAGGAGGTGTATTATCATTTCAGAATGCCTATAGAACAGCAAAATTGGCTCATTAAAGACCAAACTCAATATTGCCTTATCGCATAGTTTATTTTAAAGGTTTATTGAAAGTTTTAATAGCAGCCCTTCATTCCGAAGTATAAGGAAATCAAAGAAAAACATATACATTTGCTTTCTCAGAAAAAGTAAACTTCTTTTTATTAATTTAATTTAAATATATATATAACTTCCAACATTTATATTAAAACTGTACTAACGTTATGATAACAGGAGATAAATGTCCATCTATAATCTCTGTACTTGTCTCTATTTCAAAAAACTGTTATTAGCACATTAATTTTTTTTGGAGCAAAAAGAATATTTGAATGTCAAGAGTTGGAAAAACTTAAGACAAACTCTGATAAGGATCATTTTATCCAAGACTAACTGTAATGCAGATCATATGTTTATAACTATTTGCAGGGTCCTTATCTCGAGAGTTAGTTTGACCAACTCTGTCTCATGGACTCTACAAAAGGTTTTTGCACAAATAACAATTTCACTTGGGCCAACAATGTGCTGTTGCTATTGGGAGGAAGAGAAAGCCCCTGGATACCACTAAACGCTAGCTGAGAACATTTGAAAATGTTCTTCCTTTTTGACAGTGAATTCTACTTTTTACTCCTCTGTTTGGATTTGTCAAAGAACGCATAAATAAATAAAGTAGAATTTTGCCAGTGTACTACCAAATTAGCAAATTACACTTTGTGCTCCTGAAATGCTTGCTTTTCTTGCATCATGCCTGGTGATTCTTGAATTTGGCATCCAGATCCTTTACTTATGTGCGTTGCAGATTTCCTACTTTACAGTGGACAGCTCCATGTTTTATGTTCAGATCAGGACAGTGAACTAGAAAATTTTTTCGGTTGCCAAAGCAACACAGCTGTGGAAGACCAACTTGTTCGTCTTGGTCTTGGCCTCTGCAGCAACAATTAGGAAGGAACCCAACCCTTTTTTAATTCCTAGGACTATTCTTGCTGTGCCTCAAGGGATTAATTAAATTCTACGTCATCTTTCCCATGTCCTTATAACTTTAATTCCCAATAACTCACCCTTAGCTTTTTTTCATTCTGTAACACTACAGAAAATGGTTATGCTGTTCCATGAGTTTCACATCTCTTTCAATGCCATAGAAGGAAGGAAATGCAAACATAGGAGAGAAATCATGCTTTTTGAAGTATAACTATATATTTTTGAGGACTTCTGTATCATTTGTATTAGAGTAAACCACTTATAAATAAATACAGCTTGCATTTGAATAGAAACTTATAGTTTAAGAGGTATATAAATTCACAAGTGGTGTAATCTCAGTCGAGAAAATGAAAGGTGAGTGGCCCGGCCAAGGTCACACAGGTAGGATGTAAAGGGTGGACCTGGGACTTGAACCCACATGTTATGATGCCAGGTTCAGGGGTGCTGGTTTTATATTTCCCCCTTTTGGGAATACACTAGCCTAAAGGGATGATGACATATGTGAACTTTTCTGAACCATCTTAAAAATTCATGTAAATTTCAACATATCTTATGATTTATCCTGAAAAAGATTCCCTTTTGTGTCTTAGACAGTGTTTGTTATACCTTCTCATTCTATGTAGTGACCAGGAGTTGTGACTTGGCTCATTTTTATCCTTTAGTACCAGCCAGGAACCATTTACAATCAGGAAATAATGTCCCTTGCTAGAAAGGCAAGCATGGAGAGACAGAACTGATAAAAAACAAGCAAGCAGATCATTTGAAAGTGACTGACATTTGCTTAGAACTTAGGATTTCCTTTCCTTACAAGTTTTGGTTTGTGGCTTATGTTTGAGATATATAAATATACAGAGGGTGACCCAAAAAATGTATACACATTTTAAGAAAGCAAAACTGTGTTAAATTGTAATACTCAGTATATATCAATAATAAAAGATGAATACAAATCACATTTGACTTCTGCAATTACAAGAGGTGCTCGGTTACCATCAGCGTCCAGACATTTCTGATAACAGCGAACTATTGCTTGAGTAATGTTGACCAAATGTCCACTTGTATACATTTTTATGGCACCCCCAGTATATATATATATGTATTTTTTTATGTAGAATAACAGTTTCTAACTAGTTTATCCCGTCACTTCTGTGCATTCTTTTATGTATCTGAAGTGTGATTTAAAGGGGAGCTAAGTCACTCAAATGTAAACACTTGTGGAATAAACACATTATCTCAGAGTAAATTATGATCCCAGAAGAGTTCAAGGCAGGGGGTAGCATTGGTGAGACCAGCAGGCCATCTTTTTCCTTTGACTTAGTTGTGCGATGACCGGATTCGCCACCAGTACCGCTCCACGCAGCAGCTCAGGGCATGATGGGATAGCATGTCCACCATTCTTTCAAGAACTGTAGGTATGGCAATTACAGGAGTTCAAAAAGGATTCTTACTCACTGGCCTCCACTGAAACAGCCCCTACATACGCACGTTAGACTTAAGTGTTTTTTGAGATTGCATTGCTCCAAATAGTTTGTTCTCTCATATAAAAAAAGCCCTCCTATTAAACTCTGGTCAAAGAGCCTTTGAATCCTTAAGAACAAGAAAGCACTCTTGTGCTAGTAGGCTATTGTTTCTATTCAGGGGGATTATTTAAACTTCATATGCATAATATCTGCCTAGGCCTGCCTGCCTTTTATTCTCTAAAAGAGTATTGGAAAAGAGTGGGAGGTCTGGGATTGCTAAGCTTTTGGCTCGCAGGTAACTAAAGCAGTGCCAGCTGAAGAGGGGGCTGCTGGGGGCCCCAATGGGGCCATCGTAGGGCTCAGTTCTGCAGTCGTAGCAAACCTCAGAGACCCTTGCCTGGCCATTAACCTCACTTTGAACCATTTATATGTGAGCAGAAGTTCACATTCCTTTTTCTTCCTCTTGGCCTTTTTTTTTCTATTCCATATCAATAAAATGAAAGTTCAGGCAAGCTCCTCTCTTCGGCCCTTCTAAGACCCATCATTTCCCTTCTCTTTTCCGTTTAGTTTGTCAAATGCTCACCATGCTTCTTTCTTCTCTCCTTTTTCAAAATAGATTTTTAATTAAGTACCTGTTCATATTTATTTATGCTTACATTAGAGGAAGTGATTGATTTTCTAGATTTATTTGAAAAGGAAGGATAATGCTGAAGTAGAAAACTGTATTTATATACTTCCTCTGTTCTACTAAAAATGTTATTCCTGTGCTTAAATCCTGGACATGTAAAAAAACAAGTCCATATTTCTCTTGTTTAAATGAATGTAGATGTGTTCCTCATATCAGCAAGTAAGCTGTGGATGTATATTTATCCACTGTGTATGCTTATCCACATACTCACTCTCACGTGACCCTCAGAGAATGTTATACTTTATTTGGCCTCGAGTTTGGCTGTATTCCCTTACTGCATAAATCTTCTTGGCTCAATCCTGCTTTGCCTTTTCATCTTTCCTAATTTCTTCATTTCTAACATTTGAGGAGATAGCACTGAGTGAATATGATTGAGAACACCACTATATTAAACCATTTTGTGTTTGTGTTATTCTACTAATAAAAACAGTGAGTGTGTTCTCCAATAAAAATTTTCAACTAGCAGGTTGAATAAATGAATCAATTCCACTATTTATCCCAAGCCCTGTCAAATAAGTTTTTTGAGACTTTGTTAGTTTTAAGAATATCTTAGTTTTTGTTTTATTTAGACTTGTTATGCAAAGGTGGAATTAATTAATCATATTCCTCAAATCATAGCATGCTGTCTTTGGTCTATATAAGACCTCTTTTGATTGATTTGAAATAACTTTTTACTAAGTACCTTTTATCTTCATTTCCTACCCCCATTTCCCTCGCTGTTGGGATCCAATGTATTTGATGGCATTTTTGTTTGTATGACCCAGTAAAACATGCATATAAACATAAATTGCGTGAATTTCTAGTTGACATAAATATTATGGGAATAAGACCTTATCCTCTTTCTCCTGTTTTTTGTGTTTTTTTTAGGTATGGCACTATGCTTTATGATTTATCCACATCGCTCTGTGTACATCTGGTACATAATTAGTTTGCTTTTATATGTCTCTGAAATGTATGGGCCATTTCCAGGAGCACTTAATCCATCTGGAAGTTGGATTGGTTTATACATTTTATCAGATTATCTTAGGAAATTTTTTATTCAGCTCCTATGGTTATAAAAATTGAAACGAAGAGCTAAATGATCACGCGTAACTAAAATTTCCAGCATTTAATTAAACACAGAAACTCCTAAGTACAACAATAGACTGTCCTGGCAGAAGATAGAGCCTTTGTTAGAACTGAAAGAAGAATAGGGACATATTATTATTTTAAAAAATCAGCTTTATTGAGGTATGATTTACATACAATAACGTTCATCCAAAACTTGATGCATTTTGACAAATGTTTACAGTCATGTAACCATCACCACAAGTATGATACAGGGGATTTTCATCAGCTGAAAAACTCCCCAGTGCTCCATTTAGTTAGTCTCCTTCATAAATACTAGCTCCTGGCAATCACTGACATGCTTCTGTCAGTATAATTTTGCCTTTTCTGGATTTCCTATAAATGGAGTCATATAGATTATAATCTTTTGTGTCTGACTTCTTTCAATTAGTGTAAATGCTTTTGAGATTTTTTGTGTGTGTCATTGTGTGTATCAGTGTTTCCGTGTCATTGCCGAATAGCCTTTCAATGTATTGACATACCCCAATTTATTTATTTATCCTCTAACCAGCTTATGGAAATTTGGATTGTTTACAATTTTTGGCTATTACGAATAAAGATGCTTATGAACATTTGAGTGCAAGAATTTGTGTGGGCAAATGCTTTTATTTCTTTTGGTAAATAGCTAAAATGTTTGCTCTTCAAAGACATGGTTAATATTTGTATATACATACAATGGATTATTCATCAGCAAGGAAAAGGAATGAACTCCAAATACATCCAAATATACATGGATGTTCCGGTGAAAGAAGCCAGACACAAGCAATCACAGATTGTATGATTCCATTATATTTACTATCCAGAAAAAGCAAAGTTATAAAATCAGAAAATAGATTAGTGATTAACTGGGGTAGGGGTGAGAGAGAACAGGGATTAACAGTAAATATGCATGAGGGATCATATTGGGGTGACTAATGGTGATGATTGTACAACTCGGTAAATTTACTTTAAAAAAATCACTGAATAGTATACCTAAAAGTGGTGAATTTTTATGATATGCTAAAAGTGCCTTAATCATTATTTTTAAAAGATGTAAATAAAATGAAAAGATAAAGTACAGGCTGGGAGAAAAATGTATGCAGAACATAGAGCTGATGGGAGACTTAATTCAGAATATATAAAGAACTCTTGTAACTCAATAGTAAACAAAGAAATAACTTGATTTTTAAAAGGGTAAAAGATTGGAGCTGATACTTCACCAAAGAAGGTATACAAATGGCAAGTAACCACATGAAAAGATGTGTAACATAATTAGTAATTAGCAAAATGCAAATGAAAACCACTACACACTGGAGGTTAGCAAAAATGTCAGAGTAAGAACCTCTGAAAATTCTCTCCTCCATAAAAGCAATCAGAAAAGTAGCAAAAATTATCAAAATCAACTTTTTAGGATTCAAAACTAACCAAACGCTTGCAGCAACCCAGAGTATTGTTTAAGAAAAAATGGCTGACTCTTGGAGAGAATAGCAAGCATTGTGGCATTTTAACTTGCCCTGTTCCTATCCTGCCCTTTTCACCTCTGTGACAGCCTTGAAAAACCGGCAGCCTGCAATTTCAGTAGAAACCAGCAGCCTGGCAGCCACTGAAGGGAACAGAACAGAACTGGACGTCCTTCAAAGCATCATTACCAAAGAATTATCGCCATCTGACCTGTCTGATGGTTCCCTGGATGACACTATTCACAAGGCTGTCTTTATGTGACTTGACCCAGAACTCCCCAGTGAGAAAAGCCTTTCCTTAGGAGTGCTTGTCTAAAACAGTTAGAGGCAATTGATTAACTTTGGGAAGTCTTAGCTGGAAAACAGGATGTCCACAGGAGGCTTTGAAAAGTTCTGACATGTTTTTGGAAATCAGAAGGCCACTTGAATTTTTAGAGCTTTGGGCATGCCCTGGGCTATCTGCACATTCAGGAAAGACCTGGAAAGGCCCTAAGCTCTCACTTCTGAATGACTTTGAGGCTCTGTGCAAACTGGAAGTGAAAGCTGAGGCAGAGTTGTCAACTGTCTAGGCAGAAGTTTACAAGAAAATAGGAGACTTGATCAACACAATAAGTCAGATTCATCTAACAGACATCTATAGAACACACCACCCAAAAACAGCAGAATACACATTCTTCACATGTGCACAAGGAACATTATTTAGAAATAGACCATGTGTTAAGCCATGAAACAAACCTCAATGCTTGTAAAAGGATTAAAATTATACAAAGTATGTTTTCTGGCCACAATGAAATTAAATTAGGTGTGAATAACAGAAGCAGATTGGGAAATAGCAAATATGTGGAAACTAGACAGCATACTTCTAAATAACCAATGGGTCAGAGGAGATATCACAGGTAAGTTAGAAAATACTTTGAGACGAATGAAAAAGAAGGTACCACACTAAAATGTAGGAGATGCAGCAAAAGCAGATGCAGCTTAGAAGCAAATTTGTAGCTGTAAACACCTATATTAAAAAAGAAGAAAGATCTCAAATTAACACATTGTTTGCGGGAAACGAGTAAACTCGTCATAGCGCTTTTTATACCAAAGCGCAGGAGACGAGTTAACTCAGGTATAGAGAAAAATGCCCGCTTACAAAGTGTTAATAATCTAACCTTCTACCTGAAGGAACTGGAAAAAAAGAGAGCAAACTAAACTTATAACAAGCAGAAGTTTGGAAATAATAAAGATTACAGTGAAAAATCAGTGAAAATCACTACACGCTCAATAGAAATGCTGAAATTAAAAAGACTGGCAATACCAAATGTTGGCAGGGATGTGGAGTAAGTGGAACTCTGGCACATGGTTGGTTGGAAAGCAAAACAGTACAAGCTCTTTGGAAAACCACTTGCCAGTTTCTTATAAACTTAAATGTATACATGACATACCATCCATCTATCCCATTCCTAGATATTTACCCAAGAGTCATGCCGTTTTTGTCTTAAGTTAGAACTTCAAATAGGAACATAGTAATTTCCTTAACTCTTTCTATGCGTTAATTGATTTCAAGTGTTTTTCAAAATGTGTCAGAAATCCACAAAAAAACAAAAAGTTGATATTTTGACTATTTTATGCATTTAATAATAACTTGAGCTGCTTTGTATATAAATGACATTATTTTTATGTATAAAATTTTCAGATATATTCATTTGGATGTATCTGACTGTCGTGGCAAAAGGATTAAGATAATATCACCAAATAAAACTTTTAATATGAAAACTATTATTTATTTTAATCTCCACAAGTCTTGAAAATGAAACTCTAAGTGGAGTGGCTTATCCCAATTCCTGCATCTTGTGTACAAATACCAGGGATTTGTATACCAAAAAATGTATACACATGACTTGTATCCATCTTTTGCTATTGGTATATATTAAGTATTACAATTTTAATATAGTTTACTTTCTTAAAATGTGTATACATTTTTTGGCACCCTCTGTATATTTGGATTTGCATAAAATGAATTTTAGAACTATGCAAGTATTTTATTTTTTTAAGTTATTGCTTGTATAAAAGGTCTGAAAATCTGATCTCTTTGAACTTCTGCAAGGCAGATGTTGGCTGCGGGTAGTAGCTCAAAGTCAACACCAGCCGATGACTGAGCTTTCATTTGGAATCTAAAGTTACAACGTGAGTTTTCTGGTGTCACTGTGGATTCATCCTCAGGTTTTGAACTTTCTTTCATATTTTTATAGGTTTGTTGCCACACCTCTAGCAAAAGCATTTGGCATCAAAGAGGAAATTCAAAAGGTTATACCCAATACCATCTTAGAGAATTTTTTCAAACATTCCACCAGGCATCCATCTCATGTAAGTACAAACTCTTTACTTTTGGATTGAAAAATCTCCTTTCTTAATATTTCAGTCACCTGTGACTAACGTCATCTGTGAAAAAAGTCTTTTCTGGTTAACTGCAAATGATTTGAATCATTTGGGTGTTTTTTTTCTTTATTGACAAGTTATATAGCATTCCAAACATACTATACAACGACAAATACATATTATAAAATAACAAATGTTAATAGTTGAACTATTGTGTACAACTCTAGTGTTGAACACAATTAATAACATAACTTGAGTATAAAGATCAAAATTGAATTTTGATCGTAGGATATATACATGTACTGATTGGAAAAGATCACTCTTAAGGCAGAGTAGCCCATAGCTGACACTTTTAATGATTGTGGCACCATCAATGTACATCACACACATTAAGAAAGTGTCCGTTGGGGTGATTTTTGTGCAGAGAACACATTTTTTTATCCAAGGCCTCAACACACTCAGAAATGTTCTGTGCCCCTGCCCACACCCTAGAGATGGAATTTTTAGGAGAGTCACAGTTCTCTTCACAACGCAGGATGTACCTCATGAAACGTTGTGTGTGCCATGTTACGTGCCATAGAAAAGGGTTTTAATCTAACAGTTGTAAAAAAAAAAAAGAAAAAGGTGTCCATGCAGGGCTCATTTCTTTACACCTCCCCAATTAAAATGAGAGAAGAGATAAAAAAACTTCTCCAAAAGTGGTGCACCCTGTGTGATGAATACAGACAGTTATCAGGAGGAATTTTAAAAGTCAGGAGTGGATGCTAACTCAGTTTCAGGACAGACTGATTTTTCAGGTCCTGACCTTTACTTGCTTCTGCTCTGACCTTGTCTGTTACTGGTGGTGGGCGTCCTGCATGAAGGAGGCGTGCTGAGGCTTCACCACATAGCACGAGGTGGAGTGTCCAGAATTGCCCAGGACTGGCCATCTCTCTCTTGAGCTGGTTCTCTCAGCTCCTGTATTTAACTCCGTTTTTATTTTCTAAAGTGAGGCCAGCCTGACAAGCTGTCTCCACATGTTTTTTACTTCCACGTGCTCTAAAGACCACAGTTGTTCATGTAAATATTGCTGTTACCACTGGTGAAAACAATGCCTGAGCATCATTTTATGGTTTTCAAAAGAGAAATTATTAAGCTATGTTTATGAAAACTTAGGACTCATTCAGACAGTCCTTATTACCTTTTCTGGTTCTGTTTGAGAGGAAGTAACTTTGGTAATACCTTGGATGAAACGTGAAAAACAGTGCTGTGCTATCAGTGACCTATAGCAAGAGCCTCAAGTCAACTTTTTAGGGGATTTAAAATTAGGTAGAAAATTTGGTCCTTATCAAGTTTCCCTGTGATGGACAGAAAGTGAACCTATGACAGTTAAAGAAAAATGTAGAAAGGCTGAAAGAGATTTAGAGATGGGGTGGGTAGTCTTTCCTCTTCATGACTAAGGTGAGGAAAGTAAGACCCCACAAGAGGAAACGATCCACCCAAGGTTGCGCAGCTACTCAGTGGCTCAATCTATAGCTGGAACCTGGCCCATTGTCCCCTGTCCAGTGCTGTTCTTATTATGCCCAAGTGACTTCTATATCTGTGAGTAGAATGTTAAACATATATCTCAGAGGCTGGAGCAATTGTAGTCGTTGTTCTAACTCAGCTGACACAGTGTGGCTTAGGGTAAATGTATTGGGTTGTCGGAAAAGTCATGACGTATTTTTTCTATGTTTTTCGTTGCAAAAATGCGTCATGACTTTTCCGACAACCCAATAATTTGGACGTTTGCATCAGGTACGAGAAGAAATGTTATACATCAACCCCAAAGTGTTAGAAACTGAGAAGATTAAGGAAAATAATGAAAAGTTCTAATTTATATTGCCGTAGATTATACAACTGAGGCAATATTTGTATAACAGATCAATATAACAAGTTTTCCAGTAAAGTGCCCATAGATTAAAAGTACTAGAACTTGGGAAGACAGAATATAACAAAGGAAGGCAAAGTACATGACTTAATAGTGATTTCAGATGTGGAACCAAAATAATCGCATAATACCTGCATGTATGAACTTGGCCAGTGTCACGCAGATAGCATTTTGTCATGCAGACAACCATAAATCTGGCTAAGACAGGTTGCTGGGGGGACTAAAAAAGTTTTGTGCTGTTTCAAGATACAAGTATTACCTCTCACAGAGTATTCCAAACCTGTCATGGCAGAACACTGCAGTGGTAATACATGTGGATACCACATGACTTTGTTAAAACAATTGAGTATGTGGACCTGAGGTTGCTGCTTCAGCTTCTATAGACTGAACCAATAAAAACAAAACCATTTCAGTAAATACAGTATCGGTTCTGGGTTGGTTAGCACAGAAGGGTATAACATGGTATGGACGAGGCCCAAAACACTATACACATCAACTTCCCGCGAGAGTTTTGATACATGATTTTACACAATTCTTTGGTGACACTGTATGTGCAGCTGTGTGTCCATTATTTATACATGCGTTTATGTGTCTCTTTATATATATCTCAATAACAACTTCAAGATGTATTTATTGGGAGAGAGCCATGATAACAGACCAACAGCTCTGGCCAGCAGATCAATTATCCTGCTATTGATAAAATGGAGTAACAGCAGAACTTATTATCCAGCCCTTTCCTCAGCAAAAACACAACGGGAACTGATGCAGAAGGAATGAGTATGTAGTCCCGGAAGAGATGGAAAGGCAACGTGGCACTGTGAGAGTGACGCAGAGCCACTGTTAATGGTTCAGAAGTGTGTGTGTTCCCGTTTGCAAGCCTGCCTCATGCACAGATTCAAACATTTTTTAGACCATAACGCATTCGAGTTTAGTTTATTTTGCAGGTGAGACATGTGAGAGCCAAAGAGGGCGGGTCATCTGTCTGCACTCCCAGGGGGTTTGTTTTGAGTCAGGAGCCAGGTCTCTTGGCCACCAGTCAGCACTCTTCCTCCAGGACACACTCCCTCCTCGAGGCTCTGCCTGTGACGTGTCCCCTTCCCTCTCCATCGTGTCCATGCTAAAAGCAGAGCTTGTGAGGACAGATGGGCAGTCTAGAATCTGGCTCTGCTACTGATGGTGTGTGGGGGTGGACAGTTTGACCGCCCTGTGCCTCAGCCTCCCACTCTGCGAACCGAAGCGCAGTAATAGTGCTTATCATGGAGCTTTCAGGAGGACTGAACTGAGTTCTTGGCAGAGTGCCTGACACATAGTAGGTGCTCAATAAAGGTCACCTATTGTGACTGTAGTCTGTGCCTCTCATACTGACTCCTCCAGGAGAGCTTTTAAACATTTCTTTTCAGCTTAAATTTTCCCAAGGGAACATCATTTGTTTCTTCATTGCATTTGCTTCTGTTCCTATTAACACCCGGTACAATTTGCTGTGCATGGTAGGTGTTGAAGAAATGCGTATCTCATGTATTTATGAAAGAAAATACTTCTAGAGACTTTTGTTTGCAATGTTATTTCTACTCCAATAACATTGCTGGGGGAGCCCAGTATTGCCAAGACTGACTTTAAATCAGATGCATCCGTGCTCCAAAACAGAAAGAAAATGCCCGGAGCCGTGCTCGATTGCTGTCTTCTAGATTCACCTGTTGCGCAGATATCTGTAGATCTGGTGGGATAATAAAATCGGGTTCTTCTCAGTGCTGGGAAACATCTATTTTGAGGATACGACCTTGTTTTGCTCAGTGCTGAATCTCCAGTGCCAAGAACAGTGCCTGGCACTCTGGAGTAGAGGCTCCAAATATTTTTGGATGATGGCATAAATAAAGCATTTAAAGCAGTCACGCTAGACCCAGCGCCCTTTCAGTCTAAGAATGCACCAAAGACAGCTTACAGCATTTCAGAATATGTCCTGCTATGGACCAGGCGACAGTGATTTGAATTGCGAGGATGTCCTCTGTTTGGGGAGAATCTGTTCATATTTGCAAATTATTTTAGAAGTAAAGGAATACTTTTTTCTTGAATGGTTTGGTCTGTGGTCTCCTCTCAGGGGCCATAATCTCCAGCACGTGGTAGTTCCTATAACACGTTCACATTCAGGAGCCCCCAGACCTCCAACCTTCCCTGTGAGGCAGGAGGCGAACGCTTTCATTGTTCTTACCTTGTTTTGCACAGGGGGTCAGAGCACAGGGCTATGTGGCTAGCAATTAGCAGAGCTGAATCTTGGTTTCAATTCCCTGCCATAGTTTGTCGCCTCACTCCCTGCTGGCTTCTTTCTTCCTATGAGGGAGTGTGATGAGTGCAATACTGTCTGGCGTAGGGAACCCAGACCTCCAAACTTGTCCAGACTGGCGTGGTAGGTCCTCACCATTAGGGCAGAGGAGCACTAGTTGGACAAAAGGGCAAAGTGAGCACAGCTGCCACCCCCGTTCTCCTTCATTCTTATACTCCACAAGAGGGAGACTTTAAAAATGCAAGCGTCCTGTAACCCACAAGATAAATGCAGACAAGGCCCTCTGCGGTGTGACCCCAGCCACATCTTCCACCCCCCCCCACCACCCCCGTCTTTGCAGGTGCTCCCTGCTCCCCGTGCCCTGCTCTCTGGTCTCTCTGCCAGGACACTTCCCTTCCTTATCCTCTTTCTTGGGGCATTTTTCAGGGTTCACCTTAAGTGTGAGTTCCAGAAACTGCCTACTTTATGCCCCAATCTCTCCCTCTCTTAGCAGTCATGATATTTTATTAGAATTTTGGGTTTTATTTTCTGACCTCCTCAGCAGACGGACTTTCCCATGTGAAGGGGAGGCCCGTCTCAGTCCTGTTTTTTTTGCTCTCCAAAGGCGAGCCCAGGGCCTGCAAGAAGTAGGCACCAGTTCATAGCTGCCCGCTCAGAGCCGAAACAATGACTAAAACAATAGCAGGTGCACCCTTGGCCTCTGCAGGAATAGGCCTTAGAGAGGGCAGTAGTTTACAGGCAAACAGTGGAATGTGTGGGCTGCAGCCTGTTTTGTTTTGTCTTGCTCTCCTTCTCTTCAGATTAATTAACAGGTTGGCAGATTGGTAAGCATGTGCCAATCATCAGCGTGAGAGCTTCGTTATGAATGTCACCCACTGTTGTGCTGTGCATGTAAACAATTATATGAATTAGGCACGATAACACAACCCACAACAGGTCACAGATTGTTGGGAGTCCAGCCGCTGGGTCCATTGGCGGGCTTTGTGTAGCGCTCACCATATCGGCCCATGACCAGTTTAAATCTACTCTGAAGAATTGGTCAACATTAAGAGAACCTAGCGACTTCCCAGGAGGTCCTGGGCTGGCACTTCTGCCATGGGAGCCGTCAGCCTGAGCTTGGTCGCAGCTGCGCCTTGGGGATGGCACCTGTGCGTTTCTGTTCGCTGCGTCCATGGGGCGCCTGCCTGCTTCCTCAGCACTGAAGTGGAGAGTCCGTTTCATGCCATTTGATTTTTCTCATAGCAAAGTTCAGAGGAAATTGGAATATTTCTTATACTCAAGTTGGAAAATTAAAGCTCAAGAGGGCTGGTATCTCAGAAACAATTAGAGCTGGTTTCATTGTGGAGTGGGGAGTGCCGTAGGTGCAACACAAAAAACGTGCCTGTGTTAAAAGAATGCAACTTAAAACCCCATTCGGCCACTTCTGTTTCTTGTCTGGCCTGAGGAGGACTTCAGGTTTCTGACCTGTGAGCTAATCCATCTTTGATAGTGTTTCCAATTTTAATCACAATCTACAGCTTCTGCTCCCCAGAAGAGAAGCCATCATCATCCTTATATTCTTCAGTCATCATTTTTATGATTGGAATTATTTCAGATTCATTTGAAATAGGCTCTACATCTCGTTAAATGTGGACGTGATGGCCAGCCCTTGTTTGAGTTTCTCCTGTTTCACTTTTTGGAGCTGGTGGGGATATCGTGTGACATAACAGAACATGCACGAGCCTAAGCGCTCGTGCTCACTTTGCTCCTAATTTTAGGTCTTGGACAAGTTACTAAAACTCTCAGGTTTCCAGTTTCCTCATAGGAAAAATGAAGAGATTGTATTTGATCGACATCTTCAACTGTGTTACTCTTCCTGGTACCTGGGAGGCCCTAAATAAAATTGAGCAGAATGAGTGAATTGAATGAATGAGTGAGCTCACATAGGCAACTTGAACATATGGGCTGCTACCGACTTGTGGAGAATTGGTCTCTCATACTCACATTCACTCTGGGGAGTGTGTGTGTGTGTGTGTGTGTGTGTGTGTGTGTGTGTGTGAGATTCCGTAGCAAAAAAGGTAAATTCACTGGCTCAAGGTCAAATGCACTATCTCTCTCCACTGCAAGCCTCTCGTAACCCAGTCTCACTGTCTCTTGACTGCCCGCCAGTCGGTCTGCTCCTCCTCACTCACACACTCATTTCATCCCTTTTCAGACCGATATTTATGGACTGGCGAAGAAGTGTAACCTGACAGAGCGCCAGGTTGAAAGATGGTTTAGGACTCGGCGGAATCAAGACAGGCCTTGCAGGATGAAGAAATTCCAGGAAGCTTGGTAAGAAGGAGAGTCAAAGCTTTGAAGTGCTCTAACTTTCTGTGGAGCAGGATGGTCATCTCAGAAGGAGCCCCGAGGTTGGAGCAGAAGGGTTCTCACCCAGCTCTGCCCTTTACCAATTGGGTGTTGGAGGCTAGTCACTCGTTTACCTTTTGTGCTTCGCTTTCCTTCTCTATGAAACGGGGCAAGCTGTGAACTCTCCAAGGTGAGCAGGAGATAGTATGTATTTATCTAGATGTCCAGAAAAACCATAAAAATGTCTTCACCGGTGTTTATCTTTTCTAGGGTAGAGGTTGGCCCTAGCTCACAAGACTTTCTACCCCGTTTCCAATCACATTATAATTGTTATGTCTCATTGTAAGAACAGAGAATGTCTGAGAGGATATCAGTTCTCGGCTCACAACAGTAACTGAGAGGACTTCTGTCTGTGTCACTTGCTCATACCCCCATCCCTGCCCATGGATGGGGCAGCAAGTTCCTCTGGGTTTCTCAGTTGGTTTAGCTGGGGGGAGTGGGGAAGGGTCGGGATGGGCTGGGGCACCAAGTAGCATTTTTATCAGAGCTGGCTACTTCAAAGACATTCTGAGAACAGTGAGCTGCATTGCACCTATTTTGGGTTTCATTTCAACTCTGGTTTTGTTTGATTGTTTGTTTTTTTCTCCCTGTAGAATATTGTAGTACTTTAGGACACTCACTCGGTAGCAGAAACGGACACCTGTGCAAAAATGGCAGACTAGGTCATTGCTTCTGTTTTGTTCCTCTTCTTTACAAGCATGTTGGTTGGCTTGTGTTTGATGCCACATTCTATGCACCAATAGCACTCCTTCTTTCCGCCTGTTTCGTAAGGTCCTCACATTGCCCCGTGATTCTCCACAGATATTTTTGCTTTGATGGTGAAACAGATAGGGATTGATGTAAGCCTCTCGGATAAATAAACAGCCTGTGGGAGACTAAGCTGTAATGGCTTTTTTTAATTTGCCGGTACATTCCAGATAGGAAGCTGGTGCTGTGTGGGGCTCCGCGAGTCTTGCAACACTCGTTTCTCATCTCAGGCCTCCACTGCCTTTCACACAATGGCTGTAGGTGTGTGGCCTGGTTTGTTTTCTAACAGTTTCTCTTTGATGTTTAGCTCTTGAGAGATTGGTTAATGTTGTGTTGCCACTGATATCAGCTTGTCAGGAGTGAATCTCCCTGAACCATCACCACAAAACACTGCACAGTAGAGCTGGTCTCCCATTGCATCTTCCTGTTTTCCTGCTGTCCTTCCTTCAATCTTTCTAGCAAAGGTTCTTATCTTAAAGTCCCCAGGCTGGAACTGGGATTACTTCTCTACCTCTGAGCTGAATCACCCTCCCCTGAAATGTGCTGGTAATTTCTTATACATTATAGGGCCTTACAGTTTATAAATAATCTTTGTTTGATCCTCCCAACAGCAGTGCGAGGCAGCCGGGAAAGGTGGGGCTAGCCCTGTTTAAGAAATGAAAAACTACAGGGGCGACCAGTTAGCTCAGTTGGTTAGAGCGTGGTACTGATAACACCAAGGTTGCCGGTTTGATCCCCTCATGGGCCACTGTGAGCTGCGCCCTCCCTAAAAGAGTCGACTATGCCATTGTAGCATGAAAGCAATGTGTAACCAATGACCATGGCTGTTCCCCAATAAAGTTTAAAAAAAAATGAGAAACTACATGTCCATCTATTTTAAGGAACCTGCTCAAGGTCACTGGCTGTTGGTGGGGCTGTTGCATCCAGGTCTTCTGATCCTTTTCAGTGACCCCCTCTGCTCCATTTTCTGTGACCCCTTGGCACCTAAAGCTCCTCTTAGCAGCAGGAAGCCACCCCCATCCAGTAACTGGCTCAACCGGGCCCAACATCAGGGAGTCTGGCTGTCTGTGAACCCACTGAGAGTGATCCACAGAGCTCTGGCTGGAGAAGGGGAGGTCCAGTCGCCATAATCAGTGAGTCAGGCAACGCACAGGGTGATGCTCGCCGTCTTCTCTGTACATGGCCCGATCCTAGATTTTCAGAGGGAAGTGAAAGTGGAGGCATGGTCACTGGCCTCAAGCAGCTAATCAGGAAGATGAGACTGTCATGTAGGAAGCCACCCAGCTCTTGTTACTCCCCGTCAGTGGCACGTGGGCCTGTCCCCCTGCAGGCCACAGTCATGTGTAGACGCGCCGTGGGCTTTCAGAGGAGACGGCAGCATCAGGAGGGCTGACTGTGTTGGAGAAAGGCTGTTAAGAAAGGTCAGCTGTGAGCTGGACCTTGAGGAATGGGTTGGATTTCCATAAGAAAAGAAAGCATGATTTTAAGGCAGCATGTTTCTAGGAAGACATAGGCACAAAGCAGGAAATTATACAGTGTATTCAGGAAATAAGACTGGACCACGAATAAAAGTTAAGCTTGATCTTACTCTTTAACAATGTCACAGATTTCCTCCAAGTCAGATAACTGTGAAATGTTGTAATGGGCTAAATAAATAGACTATAGCAAAATGCCAAGCCATTTAATTATATAGGGACTGTATTTTATTTCATCAGCTATGTAATATCCTGCAGGAACCTTAGCAAGAGTTACCTAGCCCCGGGCGTTTTGGAAATCTCAGGAAACTTATTTCCCAGCACCAAGCTCTTCCAGGGGATTCACCAACAAGCAGCAAGTCGTCTATACTATGAGGATGGATTAGCTCTGAACATCTTACGTTCAGCATGTTATGTCCTTGGGTACTTCCTTTAACGATGACCCCTAAACCCTATTTCACAGCATTTAAGGATTTTAATCCATAGTGGATCCTTTATTTTGAAATTAAATTCTGTATTAGCTGACTACTTTTCTTTTTAAAATAACTTAGAGTTGTCTGACTCTAGAATGTGTATTCTTTCTGTTATACCAAATGTTTCTCTCCTCATATGTCAATCACCTATACAAGACTTTTCTTTCTTTTGGCAGCTGGCGATTTGCATTTTACTTAATGATTACTATTGCCGGAGTTGCATTTCTTTATGATGTAAGTTGTCTTTTTGATATCTTTGATTGGAATTTGTCTTTAATTTTTTAAATCCTTACCTGTGATTTTTCTAGGATGTTAATACCTTCAAAAAGATAACCAGCATTTAAGCCTCTAAGCCCTCTAATGCCTAGAGAAGTAGCAACTCCTCAATCTGTCTTTGTCTTTCAAAGCCTTTGTTAAGTTTTGCATTTGCAAAGTTAATTTTTCAACCTAATAGCTCCCTATTTCCACTCATGCAACTCCTACACCAACTAAACTGGACTACTGACACTCCACGAAACATACGTGGTACACCCCTACTTTTGGATTTTAGCACATTTTATCCCCTCTGCCAGAAATGTCTCGTCCTTGTCACCTCTTCTTCTCCCTGTCAATTTCCATCCAGTCCTATATCAAATGCCACTTGTTCCATGAAGACTCATTACTCACCATCAAAAACCAAATCTCTCCTTTCCATATTCCTTTTGCATTGCCTGCTTAAATGATTACCTCATTATGTGAGGTATAAACTTAATAGTAAATTGTTCGCAGAAAATAAAAGATGACCAGATTTTAGAGACTTCTCTTAAGATTCTTTCAAGACTTCTCTTAAGATATTTTATTGCTACAGATACCTCAAGATATTTTTATTCCTACAGAAGCAGTAATCTAATTGGTTGTAATAATCTAATAATTTCATTAGAATCTATTTGAAATAATTGTTCTGTGAGACAGAACTGATTTGGGTTCCAGATGCACTAGAAGTCATGAATGTCACAGGGGTGTTGTATAGGAACATGTAGGAACACCTCCAGAGGGACAGATGGGTGTATCAGGAGCAACAGGAGATGACAAAAATGCATCTCCTGTGGATGTTTGCTCCCTAGCAGTGTCATCAGGAGGAGCTGATGGTTTCTACCAAAGCCAGTCTGACTCTCACAGACTTATTTTTTCTCTCTTGGTTCCTTGTGTTTTCAGAAACCTTGGGTGTATAACCTCTGGGAGGTGTGGAATGGCTACCCAAGACAGGTAAGTCCCCTCTGATGTAGCCGTTACCTCAGCGATCAAGCCCCTCACATTGTCCTCTGAGTCAGGTGTGACCCCTGGTCTACTCTTTGTCCACTTCTGTGACGCCTGTGGCTCTTCCTCTACTAGACCTTGCACATCCTTATTCCTTACTTACCCATCACTTGTCTCACTCCTTGAGTTTATTTATGGTTAATATAGGTATGTATTTGAGTTTAAATTTACCATCTTACTATATATATTTTCTATTTGGACTACCTGATGCTTCTCCTTTTTTGGTGCTCTCTTATTACCTTTTATGGGACAGTCAAGTTTTTAAAAAATTATTATTCCGCTTCTTCCCTTATATAGCTTTTCAGTTATGCATGCTGTTATTCTTTTAGTAATTATCCTAGAGATTACCATATGTATCCTTGAATCATTAGAATCTAATAGAAATTAGTGCTGTTACCTTTTTCTAGTCACTTAAAGGTCATTAGGATACTCCATATGCCTCCCTCCTATTTCCTCCTTCAGATATTTAAAACCCTACAAGTCATTACTATTATTATTTTGTACATTAGTCAAATTGCCCTTTACATGCTATTCCTTGCATCCTGCATTTCCATGCTCCCATCTGGGATTATTATCCTTCTGGCTGAAGAAGTCCCTTTGGTTTGCTTGTCTGAAATGTTATCATTTAGCCTTCATTTTTTTAAAAAAAGGTATTTTTGCTGGGTATAGAATTCTAGGTTAGTAGTTATTTTCCTTCAGCACTTTAAAGATGTCATTCTGCTGTCTTCTGCATCCCATCAGTTTCTTTAAGAGTTAGTTTTCATTTTATTTTTGCTTCTTTGAACAGAATCCCTTTTTTTCTCTGACTTTTAAAAATATTCTGTCCTTGTCTTTCAGAAGTTTTATTATGATATGCATAAATGTGATTGTCTTTACATTTATCCTGCTCCTTGTCCATAGTTCTTCTCAAATCTGTGGTTTGATGCCTTCAGTCAGTTCTGGAAAAATTCTTTGCCGCTGCTTTTGTCCCTTTCTCTCTCTCCTCTCTTTCTGGAATTCCAGCTACAAGTGTACTAATACAAAGACCTTACATTAAGTCCCATATGTCCTCTATGCTTTTTCCAGTATTTTCCATCCCCTGCCACTCTGTGCTTCAGTCTGTTGAGAGACAATTCTGCACAGGTCTCTTGCATTTCTATATGTATAAAGGGCTTTATATTACCCTCTTTGCTTACCCCTATGTGAGTTGGGATGGGAGAACTGGACTAAACTTCGATATTCTAGCAACTGTATTACTGTGAATAATAAACTACCCTTTATCTCTGACTCAGGAGTCAGCATCCTTGAATCTGTTTGGCAAGCTAACTTGCAAGTAGGGTAAAACCTCAGACCTTCTATTGTTCTGGATATTTTCTACTTTTATATCCTCCAGTTCAGTAGTGATTTTCTCAGCAGTGTCTCATCTGCTACTAAACACACCTTTTTGAGTTTTCAATTTTAGTTATTGTATTGTTCAGTTAAAAATTTTTCATTTGGTTCCTCTTTTATGGATTCCAGTTATCTACTGATATTTCCCACCTTTTAACCAAGTTATTGGAGTTATTTTAAAGCCCAAGTCTGATAAATCCAATATCTTGATCACCTGTGAGTCTGTTATCTTTCTTATTCCTGTTTCTTATGCTTGATAACTTTTGATTGAATGGCAGACATTGTGTATGGAACATTAAAAATGCTCAGGATACTATTATCTTCCTTCTAAGAGGATTTTCTTTCACTTTTGTTAGGCAGTTAGAGACAGATTGCCTGCATTTTATCTGTGATTGAGCTGATTCAATGTTGACTCCAGTCTATATCTTTACAACTCACTCATATACTTAGGATGTTTCCTACAGTGGTTTTAATTAAAAGTTTATAGTATTTACCAGGACTCCTTTGCCTCGGCTGGCCCTGAAAACCAATTTGCTTGCTAGTCCTTACTACGAGATTGCCAAAAGTCCTACTTAACTTCTGTTTCTTAGTCTGTGGGCCCCATACTGAGTATAAGTTGGCAAACACAGACTTTATGCTATACATAGGTGTGGTTTTCTTTCCTACTTAGGGTCTGTCATACTTCTTGAATTCAGATTCACTTGAAATAAAGGATTTGCTTTAATGCACTTTTCTTCCCTTTGAAACTTTGGCTTCATGGGTTCAGGATGCCTTGGTTGCTCTCGGATCCTTTTAAACAGGTATTCTTTCTGTACTTTATCCAGATTTTTAAAAAGTTGTTTCCACTAGAAGAGTTAGTCTTATACAGGCTGCTTGTCACAGAAAAAAGCAGAAACTTTGTCGCACTCTTTTACCGCTTTATCAAGGGTGATGAATTGACCAGAAAATTATTCCTTTTAATGTGTTAGCCTCAGCATACAAAAACCAAAGGAGGTTAGACCATAAGGTACTTAGGCATTATGTAGGCCAAGCCCCAATCTCATCTTCTAGCTCTAACTTATTCTTAGCTTCTCAAGTGTATCAGTTATCTATTAGTGCATAACAAACCATCCCCAAAACTTAGTGCCTTAAAACAGCAACCATTTATTTGCTCATGATTTGGGTTGGCAATGTGAGTGAGGCTCGGCTGAGCAGTGCAGCTCCATGTGGAGACTTGCGGAGTTCATTCATGCATCTTCAGTCAGTTGCTAGGTTGGCTGGGGGATGGCTCATGACCCTGGCTCTCTCATTCATATTTTTCATACCTCGATTCTCCACTCCGTAGCTTCCAGCAGGATAACTCGGGTTTCCTATGTGGTGCTTCTAAAGGATCCGCTTGCATCATACTTGCTATTTTCCCCTGATCAAAACCCAAGAACTAGTTCATGGTCATGTGGGAAGAGATGATACCAGGGCATGGATGTCAGAAGGCAACATTCGTTGGGGGCATTAATGTAACAACCCATCACACGAAGTCATATAATGTCTCATCTTAGCTGAAATCCCCCCATTGTATCCTTATTAAAGAAAATTCTGGCTGTAGAAATCTCATTCTTTTTTTCAGAAGACATTTTTAGAGTACTTAAATAATTGTATATATTTTATTACTATCCCATTTGAGAATGGGCCAATTCAGATCATCAGCTGTCACCAGAAAAGAGGTTAGGACAGCAGATTTTGAGTAATATTCAAGAAACAAAACAAGGTGAATTGTGGGACCAGCAGAATGGACTTGCCGTTGTGCTTAAGTAAATATTTTTGAATTATTTTTCCAATTTAATTATCAATCAACTGAAATGAGGCAATTACAACTGTTGTAGTTTTATTAACTGTTAAACAAAACATTTAACTTGATTTTAGAATTCTTGTCTAACCTTTTAGAAATAGAATGCCTTGAAATATTATCTCCAATTTTCTCTCAGAGGTTGAAACATAGAGCATATTATTTTGGGGAATTTTGGGGAACATAACCATGTATACACAATAGTTTTAATCCTTAAAATTAGTTGTTTATATAGACATTAAAGTAGTAAATATTCTGATTTTTCCCAGGCCTTGCTGCCATCCCAGTACTGGTACTACATTTTGGAGATGAGTTTTTATTGGTCTCTCTTATTCAGCCTGGGCTCTGATGTCAAAAGGAAGGTAGGTGTCTTATTTACAAAACTTTATTCATTTGTTTCAAAAATTTGTATTCCCTAATCCTAATCTTTAAATTATATTTTTCTGTGCATTTAGTTCCAGTTCATAGCTTTTCTGCTTCTCTAGCACATAGAATATTGTAAATTATGCTCATGCTTTGGTGCCTTGGTAAGTATTTGTTGTGAAACATCTCAAGGGACAGGTTTGAAAATAATCATTTTTTAGAAGGCCTTCGTAGATATATACTCAGGTAGATTGATCCCATATGATTCTTCAGTGAGTTCTTGAGGCAATCAAACCTTTTATTTTTCAGTAGTTGGTTTCTGTGTCATTGACAGGTGCCTTGAGTACTTTTTCAAAACTTAAGTGTAGATATATGTCATATGTTTGTAAACACATATCTTCAGAGACATAAAACAATTAGGAGTTGGGTAAAGCACAGGCTGGGGTCAGATTGCCTGGGTTCGAACCCCTGGGTTCACCACTCACGTACATCTCCAGGTAGTTGGTTAAACTCCCTACATTTGAATTCCTTATCTGTAGAGTGGAGCTAAACATGGTTTCTATCTCCTCTGGTTGTTGTGAGGCTTAAGCAAGTTAATCCATTTAAAGCACTTCCTGGTATACAGTAAGTGCCCAATAAATTAAATATTGTTATTATCATGTTCACTCCTTTATTTTGGCTTCCAGGGAACTGAAACCTTTAAGCTTTTTTTTTTTTAAACATTTTTATTGAGATATTCACATACCATACAGTTTGTCCATCTAAAGTGCACAATTCAATGGTTTTGAGTATATTCACAGAGTTCTGCAATTATCTCCAAAAGTCAATTCTAGAACATTTTCATCAGCTCAAAAAGAAAACCCATTAGCAGTCACTTCCTATTTCTCCCAATTTCCCCAGCCTAAGGCAACTGCTCATCTACTTTCTGTCTCTATGGATTTGCCTCTCCTGGACATTTCATATAAACAGAATCATACAATATATGGTTTTTTATATTTGGCTTCTTTCACTTAGCATGATGATTTCAGGTTCATTCATGTTGTAGCATGTATCAGTATTCCATTTCTTTTTATTGCTGAATAATAGCCCACTGTATGGATGGACCACATTTTGTTTATCCATTTATCAGTTGATGGACATTGGGATTGTTTCCACCTTTTTGGCTATTATGAATAATGCCGCTATGAACATTCATATGCAAAATGTTGCACAGACATATGTTTTCATTTCTACCTAATAGTGGAATTGCTGGGCTATATGGTATTTCTATGTTTAACCTTTTGGGGAACCACCAGGCTACTTAACAAAGCAACCACACCATTTCACATTCCTACCAGCAATGTGTAAGGTTCCCAGGTTCTCCACATCCTTGTCAACACTCGTTATTGTCTGTCTTTTTTTTATTATTGCTGTCTTGGGGATGTGAAGTGGTATCTCATTGCAGTTCTGATTTTCATTGTCCTGACGGCTAATGAGGTTGAGCATATTTTCATGTGCTTATTGGCCGTTTGTACATCTTCTTTGCAGAAAACCTTCGAGTCTTTGTGGTAACTTTCCTTAGCCTGATTTGTTAACATATAATAGTCCACTTCCATTTGTTACTTCTGTCATATACAATAACTCTTATCTTAATGGTTGTGTAATTTTGTTATTTATCCATTTTCCTTTTCGGATTTAGACAGGCAATAAACAATAACTGCAAATGTACACAGGACTATGCTTGTGTGTGTAAGTATATGTTGGGTGTGTGTGTGTACATATAATAAATGCAGTGTGGGCTGTGGCAGAACAGCAGATGTTAGGACTTAGTGATAACTCTTCAATGCTCTCTGAGTTAAGTGACTTCATCAACGAGTGTAACTCTTGCCCTGTCTCCCTTGTAAGGATTAAGTGTAAGAATTAAAGTGAAAGAATTTCACAAATTTCAAAACATGCAGATGTAAGTTATTGGTTTCTAAATTATTATTATTATTATTATTATTATTATTATTATTACTACTACTACTAGCTCTTCCAGTGATTGGGAAATAACTGCATTTGCCTAATGGATTCCATCTTCCCCTCCTTTGGTAGGATTTTCTCGCTCATGTCATCCACCACCTGGCTGCCATTAGTCTGATGAGCTTCTCTTGGTGTGCTAATTACATTCGCAGTGGGACCCTCGTGATGATCGTGCACGATGTGGCCGACATTTGGCTGGAGGTAAACGTTTGCCATTCAAACACTAATAACAGTGCCACGTCCTGGGGCTCCATGACTCCTCACAGGAAGGATTGTCTGTGAACAATTTAGCTGGGCTCTCTGTCCCGGAAATACGCAGAGTCCACAGATGTCTCTGGGTCCCCAGATCCTTCCAGCTCAAAGAAACAAAACCTTTCGATTTCAGTTTCCAACCTTCTTTCTCCATGGTCCTCGAGAGCGAGGTTAATTTGTGGGATTCCACTTATGGAAGTTGCGTGCAGACACAAGCTCAGGAAATAAACTGAGGTATTTGAAGATGGAGTGAACTCTGATCTTCTAAAAGGAAACCTCGAGCTATGGATTCTTAGCATTGGCCAGCACCGTATGCTGACTTCGGCCAAAGCTGAATACCCCCTGGATGCTTGCACCACTTTACACTGGTGCCCCTCCAGCTTTAAGGACTGAAAGCTGTTGTTTTTCTAAATGACATTTATTTGCTAAGGAAGGAATGTTCTGGAGCAGGAGATATTCAGACAAGAGTCTCCCTAAGAAATCCCAAACCACTCAAAATATGAGGAACAGAGCAAAACTAGGATTGTTTTCTCTATCTGTTTCTGTGATGTACTGGTTCACGTTTACCTGAGGTACTGATCCAAAGGTCCTCTTACCTGCCAGCTCCCCTGCTGTGCTTAGAACCACATTTCCCAAATGTACTCATTTATAACAAAGCTGGGGAAAAGGATGCTAATCCATTTTTCACTCAGGATTGCCTCTCGAAGAGCTAGTTATTAAATAGAGGTTGATATGGGGGAAATTAAATGAAATGTAATAGAATCTTGTTCTTCTAGATGGGGGTCAGCAGGTTTTTGAGTAAAGGACCAGATAGCAAATTGAGCTTTGTGTGCCCCATAAGATCTTTGGTAACACGTTCTTCGTTTTTTCTTGTGTGTGTTTTTGGTCTTTTCTTGTACCCCTTTAAAAACATGAAAACCATTCTGAACTTGGGAGCTGACCAGCCTTAGCCCACAAGCTGCAATGTAATTTGCCAAACCCTGTTCTAGACATAACCAGAAGACATCTGAAGCCATTGCAAAGCAACTGGCTACTATTAAGCCATTAGCTGCATAGAGCATTTTGATTCTTGTATGTAATTGTAATTAGACATGTAAATCCCATTCTGAAGGTCAAGGTCATTCTGTTTGCTTCAGGGCAGCACATGGCTTAGCCAGAGAAGGACTGTGCCAGTTTTTCCATGTGTCGCTATCTGACTTGCCATCTCTGTTATAATGACCCCCTTCTCTGATCATCTCTAAGTAACCCGGTCTGAAAATTAAGACCACATTGGCCAGGACTTAAGAATTTTCTGCTGCTGTGTTGCTTCTAAACCCTCCAGCTCCATTGCCTTTGGCGCATGACCATTGTAAAAACAGCTTCATCATGTTATTTAAAGGGAGTTAGATGTTGGAACTGGGACTAAGAGCTGGGTTGTCCCCGCCCCCATCTCCCATCACTGACAGGACACAACTCATTAGCTGACTGGGCAAATCACTTAATGCTTTGTTTTCTATCCTCAGCTGTAATACGAGAAGCCATATCTAACCCTTAGAGTGTATCATAAAGTTGAGCTCATTACTGTTATAAAATGTTCTGAGGAGCCTAGGTAAAAAAAAAACCAGAAGAAAAATAAAATGTCAAGTTCAGAGGTCCCTTATGGGTAAGCTATGAGAGCAGCTTGGTGTTGTTGATGATAATGAATCATTTTGATTCACCCGTCATGATCTAAACTTGAGGTTCAATGAGCAAGGCTGGTACCTCCCATCAGCTGGTGGCAGAGTAGTGGCTTGGGGCCTGTTTTTGAAATTCCCAGGGGTGCCTATTCCACAGCGTCCTCCCATAGTTTGTTTTCGTCTTTGTCCTCTCCGTCAAGTTCTAATTGAACCCAGGCAACTTTTGCCCCTGTTTAGACCTTCCTAGACAGGGGGACTGTTCATCTTTCATATTCCCCAAGGCAGTGGGTGGGTCATTTCCTAGCTCTTTCTTTGCAAGGGAAAATGGCCTCAACATCTACCATTCTTACTCGTAAGCCACCTTTCACCTTCTTCATGTGTCTTCCCGGGAGTTCCTCTCTAATTTTCCACAAGTTCAAGTTTAGATCCAGGACCCAACACTTTAACAGTATCCTGACTGATGCTTAGCAAAGGAGGGGGGTTACTGTCTGATATCCACCTTTGCACAGTCCTAATGGGCTGTGCGTGTATTTGTACTTGACCATCACAACTGGGCTCTTGTAACGCTAAGGCACATCTCTTGCTACGTACCCTGGTCTGGCCTCTGACCCTTCACACAGCTCCTCACTCCATGCCAGGCACTCTAAGCTTCTGGTCTTTCTCCCCATACCCACCTCCCACCCACCTGGCATACTAGCCTTCCATCTCAGCAATTGAGACTGTTTTCTTTTGGGCCCTCTGACAATTGTCCTATGGTAAGTATGGAAAATGTAATGCAGTGTAAACCCTTCCTGAAGTATACATATGCTGCTTCCCTTTTTCTAGAGGGGCCTTGAGCTGCTGGGGTGATTTCAGACCTGAAACCGCCCAGCCTAAGCCATGTTCCCTAAAGGGTTGGGCTACCCTCAGCGGCTCTTATGTGCCTCTCACCCCAACTCCAGACATGTTCCCTTTCAGCCTTGGGCTCCACTGGATAATACAAGAGAGAATACTCATCAATTAACCTTCTAAGACCACATTAAAAAAACCCTATCTGTGATTCTTTTTATTCAACACCAATCGTATGAGTAGTATAGGCATAGACTAGCATAAAGTAAGTGAGCTTAAGAGAAAATCAAGTGCTTGAAATTTGATTTCAACCAGGACAAGGCCCCAAGAGTTGCCTTCTAACTCTTCCTCTCTGTCATCTGCCTGGATTGCAACATTCTCTCCCAGACCAGGACACATATTCTAGCCTTTCTTCACCCCAGCTCTCCTGCAAGCTAAATGGAGAAATCAAATAAAAACCCAAATAAAAAAGCATGCTGAGATGAGCTGTGTTAACTTGTGGTGCCTGTGAAAGACAGGAGTAATATTACAGTCATTTTAACATATCTTTTTTTAACATTGTATTATGGAAACTTTCCCACATATGACAAGATAAAGAGAAGAGCATAAAGGACCCAATGGACCCATCAGGCAGCTTTACCAGTTATCAATATGGCAAACCTTGTTTCATCTGTTTCCCCATTCACACGCAACACCCCCCCAACCCAGATTGTTTTGAAACAAATCCCAGACATATCATTTATAAATATTTAATTTTAAAAATGTATGCCAGTATCACTTTATCTGAATGCAATTTCTTTCTTTGTTTTCAGTCTGCTAAGATGTTTTCTTATGCCGGATGGAAGCAGACCTGTAACACCTTGTTTTTCATCTTTTCCGCCATATTTCTCATCAGCCGCCTCATTATTTTTCCCTTCTGGTAAGTAGACAAGAGGCTGGGCCTTGCCTTTGGTCAGCATGCTCAGGTGGCCTTGGCACGTTGTTGAAGTCAGAGCATTGACATTCTTATGCTGATCTCCAGTTATTTGTGCCACGTTCAGTTGGAGAAAAGAATAGGGGGGAGCCATTTTCATGTATGATGAAAATGACACCTTCCCATGTGGAAAAGGCTTTTTAACAAGGGGAGATAGAAAATGTGTAACCCAGTGGGTAGACAGCAACTCTTACTCTACGTCTTGTTTCATGAATACGACTGTGGATCTTCACTTTTGTGTAGCAGCTTTTCTAGTTAATTCCAGTGAAATGTCATTGGCCAATTATCAGCTCTTTAAAAGAGGGCATGCTCTATGGTGAAATTACAATAATTGTAACCACCGTGAATTGCATGCCAGACATTGGATTAGGTCCTTTATGTACCTTGGTACTAGTCTACACAATAAATCATAAAGACAGGTATTATCACCCCCATTTCAAGATGAGGAAACTGATAGTCATTTCGTTCTCCATGATCACTGGTTTTAGCAATGGTTTGCGTGTCCTTTTAATACTGATTGGCTCTTGGTCAGTCTGTTGATTTTGTTTAGCCAAGGGCTGGCGAGGAAGAACCTATATTGTGTATCGCCTGACAATCATTTCTTTGGCAAGCACCATTTTCCATGTGTTGACTGACAGAAACCAGAGGGAAAATGTGAGGAAGGCTTCGATGGTTTGGAAGGAAGAGCTTATAACCAACCCTAGTTTGGGGCTAGTGGAAGAGTTTCAGATCCTCTCAACAGAAAAATTAGTGGTAGATCATTAGATCCTGGGCTCCAGGGGAAAAGATGGAGATCTGGGTTTCAGGCCAGATTCTTGGTGGATGGACGGCATCCAGGGAAGTCTGCTTAGAAGGGTCAGAGCGTGCTGCCCTCCCGGTGTTCTAAAGGGACCATGTGCTCCAGTTATCTGCAGCTGTGTGACAAACCACCTAAAAACTTAGTGGTGTAAGACACTGGTGTGCAAACTTTTTCTGTAAAGAGCCACAGAATAACGATGTTAGGCTTCCAGGGCCATATATGGTCTCCATTGCATATTTTTCTTTGTTTTGTTTTGTTTCTTTTACAACCCTTTAAAAATGTGCCAAACCCAGCATAGCTCACAGGCTGTAGAAAAATGGGGTGTAGGCCAGCTTTTCCCTACAGGCCACCGTTTGCAGACCTCTTCAAACTACAACATTTATTGATTATTATTATCTCTAATGATTCTGGGAGTTGACTGGCATCAGCCAGACGGTTTTCATTCATGTGGTTTCAGGCAGAGGGTGGCCGAGCAGTCAGTTGGAATTTTCTCGAAGGCTTCCTCACTCACATGGTTGAGGGAACACATATAAAATCAGCCCGGCTGTCAGCTGGGACACCTAACATGGCCCCTCATCCTAGTATGGCAGCTGGATTTCAAAAGTGAGCAGCTCAAGAGAGAGCTAGGCAGACGCTGTATGCCCTTTGACAACCTAGCTTCACAAGTCCCCTCAAGTCACTTCCAACCACATTTTCTTCACTGGTTCCAGCTCATATTTAAGGAAAGTAAAATTAGACTCCATTTCTTGATGGGAGTAGTTTCAGAGATGTTGTGGACCTTTTTTCAAAGCACCTACCATGGAAGCTCTCCATCTGGGGCGCTCTCTGAGAAGCTTCTAAGTATTGCTGCTGTGGTTGACTTTGGATGTAGCAACAAAGGACAGTCACCCCAGACTTTCCCACGATGTCTCAACATCAGCAAGCAAGCTTACTCTTGCCCATAAACTTTTGAACATCGTGTTGGGGTTGAGTGACTGTGGAGGTGGTGTTACTTTCCCACACATCCCGACTTTAAAAACCTGAGGTTTAAGAACTCATTCTCCTGCCAGCGTTTCTGAGTTTTGAGGAGACTTGGTTCCATGCATTTGGTCTTTTCTTAATCTTGATACTTCACTGAATGCAGACAGCAGCCAGTACCACTGTTTGCTGTCTTCAGGGAGTTGGACCGCAAAGAAACCAGTATTAACACATTTGACTGTAAAAAACTTTTTTGCTGGTAAAAATTTTTCTGTGCTGACGTTGACCGATCAGCTTTGTTTGGAAGACCGAGGAAAAACTCACCAAGCTACTGGAAGTCTGGGAGATGGGTTTTCAATGGTTTTTGAAAGGATCGGTTATAGCGTGTTGATCTACCTGCTGCTCTAACAGTCCCACGGGGTTGAACTTGCTACACAGTCACCTGTGGTGCCAAAGAGAAGTTGGTTTCTTGTTGTTAGCTTGGCGCCAACCACCTGTCCTGATCCTGTAACTCTGCAGACTCACTCTTCAGGGATATTTTGTTAGTCCAGATATATTGGGAATTGACTATGGACCAGAGAGCGTGCCAGTGATAAACCTCTTTCCAGCTTCAGACATTTTAGAGGTGCGATGGAAGGCAGTTTGCAAAAATTGGATTTGCAATCCAATTGCCTTTCTTTGTTGCACATTTTGGTGTGAGATAAAGGGTTGAGTGGGGAGAAAGCCGACCCATCTGAAATTTGTCTGGAAGTTTTGAGAAAAAGAGCTGGAACTTGTATATTACACTTGTCTTTCCCTTTCTTTGACTTTCTCTTCATTTTCCCCTGCCTCAGAGACACTTGCTTTCCCCTGAAGAGTTTCCTTTTGTACTTGTACAACAGTGTCTCCTCTTTTCCTGTCCTCTTGCTCTTTCTGGGGACCTTTTTTAGACGATTCTCAGCCAGTGTCAGCAAGCTAATTACATTGATTTTTCTAAACACTGTTACTTTCAACATTAAGCAGAAATGCCAATCAGTATTGTCAAAATTGCTTCAATCAAATTGCCTGGTTACCCCATTTGTTTGTATTTTTATTCAAAAGCATTTAAATCTCAGGCTTATGTTTCTCACACTGTATTCCCAACTATTGCTTTAAAATAATGACTTCTGTATTTTTAGTTATTATTATTGGATGTATATTATTTAGTTATTATTGGATGTATCTATGTCTTTATGCACATGCCACCTGCGAATCATTAGCCTAGAAAGACCTTTGTAAGGTCGGGAAATGACTCTTTAAGTCATGACAGTTTTCCCCCATAAATGACAGCTGGTCTGTCTGAGGGCAGCAGCCCTCGGTTTCTATAGATGTTTACAGGGGCGGTGCTGGTTCATCGCTGCATCTCCTGAACTCATCACAGCTGGATGTTGTGAGGCATACAGTGATGGGTGAGATGCAGCTTGCACCCTACAGAAGTTCGTAACAGCAGAAGGGTCCTTTGTATCTACCACCTCATCCATATACTTGAAGACAATTAATACTGACCTGATTTTTGGATGTTCCAAAAAGAAAAAAAAACAACATTTCCAATTTGAATAATATTCAGATAACTTCCTTACCTCCAAGGGAACATATGCTTGTGTTTCCTGCCACTGGTTCACTGGACTTCAGGCTTTCGCTTTTGATAATCCCGCTCTCACTGGTGTAGAAAAACAGAACCCTGGGAAGCCTTGTGTGAAAATGAATTCTGTAGGTGGTGAGAACATATAAATACCTGGAATGGTGATCAGAGAGAGGCCAGTTTTAAGGGGCAAAAAGATAAGACAAAGCCAAAAGCCTCCAGCAGTGCTCTTAGCGGATGTTCATCAAGAGACATAATGCGGCCACCGTGGGTCCTTTCAGTCCTCAGAAGGCCTGGGACCTGGGTGCTGAGTGATGGCACAGCCCTGGAGGGAAGGAGGGACTTGTGCCGTGTGACAATGGCTCTGTTGAAGCTGGGGCCACTCCCCTGACTCACCCCTGCAGATGCGAATCTCTAATCTCTGGGAGCCAGACTTTCCAGTCACACGCCTTGTGAAGGAGACAGTAAACTTGACCGCCTGTGTTTGTTCAACGTCTCGTTCAACACCGTGCCCTCCGAGGTGCCCCTTCCCTGCAGCCCACAGGCCTGGCCTCTTGCTGCCTGTAGCTTATTACAGGCAGTTATGACAATTGCCCTGCTTCAAATCAGAGAACTTCAGGACAAGGGGCCTTATGCAAAATTTAGCTCAATCCCTTTATTCACTTACTTATTTGGAAATAATTTCAAGCTTACAGGAGAATTTCAAATATATTGCAGAGAACTCTTATAGATGCCCTTTACCCAGATTTACCGGCTAGCATTTTGCCCTGTTTGCTGTGTCATTCCTTTTCTCTTTCTCAGCACACACACACACGCACACACACGTGTACGTATGTACTTTTTTTTTTTTCTGAACCACTTGAAAGTCGCAAACATCAGGTCCCTTTAGTCGTAAATACTTCTCTGTGTCTTTCCTAAGAACGAGGAATTCTTTGAACAGAATCACAGGATAGTTTTCAGTTTCAGGGAATGTGGCAGCCTACCACCTGTGTTCCGGTTTTGTCCCTTGATCCAAAAATGGCTTTTACTGCGTTTTCCCTTTAAGATCAGGTCTGGCCCAGGGGCACACACTGCACTCAGTTGTCTCCTGGGACAGGTCCTTGCTCCTTCTTTGTCTTTTGTGTCATCAGCATTGTTGGACCATTTAGATCCCCTATTGACTTTTCAGGTGAGGAGTTAAGATATTTCCAGGGTCACACAGCTAGTTGTGAAAGAACCAAGCCTAGACACAGGACATTTGAAACATTGGACAGATATGTTTCCAATGAAATTACTAATTTGGATGATTAAGAGCAGGCATCGTTTACCTCCCCTAAGTATTTATTAAGTTTTCTTCAATTGCACAGTCACTGGGAAACATAAGACATGTCTGAAGTATAAGGCAGGCAGTTACTCACTGGCAGAACCAGCATTCGTTATCCCGAAAAGCCTTACTGCTCATATCTAAAATTAACAAGGAAAGAAAACCTTTAACTTTCAGTTTCCATTAGAAAAATACAGCTTTTTGATGGCTGACTTTTCTGGCCCAGCGACACCCACGATGTGATTTTTTCCAAACCATTTAAACTCCAGTGATTAAAAGAGTGACGACGAAAAACAAAGCAGAAAACCCGGAAAGGGCCATCCAAGCTTTGCGAGCCACGTGCACAGCAGCAGTGGGTCCATTTGGACGGGTTGAGTCCAGTGGACGGAGCAGCAGCTCTGGGAACTGAGGATACGGCAGCCTTCTGGCGTTCATTCTCTGGCACACAGGAATTCCACGTAGCCCGTAACGTAAAGGTGCAGTGTTTTGGTGTGTTCGAGCACGTGCCTGCACACATGACGCACACGTGTGAGGGACCAAATGGAGAGGGACAGATGCGCTCCTTTTGATCTTCTTCCCACTCTCCTTTTTGCGAAGGAGGAGAAGCAGCTGAGCTTGAGAGGCTGCACTGTCCCTTACCGAGCACGCTGAGACCCCTAGAAAGAGGCCCTGAAAGTGTAACTGCAGCCCCGTAACCTGCTGCCCCCAGGGCCCCAAGCCCGCTCCCTTCAGAACTCCTCTCCAGTCTTGGCCTCCCGTCCCCTCTGTCCTCCGCAGAGAGTGTTCAGGCTGCACAGCATCCCCATCCTGCTGAGCCCGCTCCTGCCCTCCTCCCCTCCTCCCCTCCTCCTCCTTTTCCTCCTCCTCCTCCTCCAGCGGCTTCCTCCTCTTCTTCCTCCCCCTGGGACCTGAGCAGAGAATGCAGCCAGCTCAGCAGCCGTCCCTGTCCTGGGTGTTGCTCTAACTGCGTTACTCACGTGAGCCCTCTGCAGCAGGAGGGGTGATGGCAGGAAAGTAGGCGTCGTCACAGTGGTGGCAACAGTAATACAGTTGCCCCCCCCCTCTTATCCACGGGGGAAACGTTCCAAGACCCCCAGTGGATGCCTGAAACTGCAGATGTCACCAGACCCTATCTACATATACTATGTTTTTTCCTGTCCATACTTATGATAATGTTTAATTATCCATTAGGCCATTGAAAAGAGGAAGGGCATTCTAGGCTAAGGACAGAATAAGACACACAGTTGCCTAAAGACCCAGCAAATCAGAATGACAGATAGGCTCTATGTACGGAGGGTGCCAAAAAAATGTATACACATTTTAAGAAAGGAAAAAGCTATATTTTTCTGCAATTTCTAAGTTTTAAAAAAACATTTGCATAAGTAAAATGGATAAGTGACTATTACTTTGTTTAGAGTTCATTTAATTACTCTTTGAATAGATAAAGGTCTTGAGCTAAGACCTCACAAAAGAGGAAGGAGAGCTACTGAACAAGACAGGGAACTGTCAGCATTGGGGTTCAATGAAGCTCTTCTTTCAGGAACTGCTGGCGGCCTCATAAACTGTATAAATTTCAGAAAATAATTTGGCAAAGTCTTGATAGCTTTTAATATACACCTTGAATGTGTATACTTTTAATGTACACCTTGAAACAGTAATCTTGCCTTCAGGAATATAAACTTCTAAAGAAATAACCTTCAATTTGGGAACGACTGGATACACCAGGTTGTTCCGTGTCTGAACATAAAACCCCATAAGTGCGACGTTTACGACAGTGGCAAAAGTCTCTGCAGGACAATCCCAAGTGCTAATGAGGGTGAGAACGCCTGGCAGTCCTGCACGTCGCTGCAGGAATGCCACATAGCCACTCTGGAAAACAGGGGCTCTGTTTCTTCTAAAGTTAGGGGTATACTTACCATGTGATACCCAGCAATTCTACCTCTGTGCGTTTGCCCTTGAGAAATGAAAACCTAGAATCCCACAAAAACTTGGATGTGAATACTTACTCATAATTCTATTCAGAATTGTGAAAAACTGGAAACAACACAAGTGCTCTTTGGTAGGTGAATAGACAAACTGTGGTACCTGCATTCAATAACATGACACTCGGTCACAAAGGGGAACACGCTGTTGACACCACAACATGTGTGGATCTCGCAGGCGCTGTGCTGAGTGACAGAGGCAACCTCAAAGCCAACACACTGTGCGATTCCATTCATAGGGCCTTCTCGAAAAGACACAGTTACAGGGATGGGGAGCAGATAAGTGCTTGCCAAGCGTTAGCCTGGGGGAGGGCATGGCTACAACGGGACAGTCCAGGGGTTTTGGGAGGCATAATGGAACTGCTCTGTGTCCTAATTGTGGTGGTGGTTACACAAATCCATAGAACCACACACCAAAAAACAGTCAATTTTACTACATAGTAATTTGAAAAAATAACATTAAAATAAATATGTATAGGAAAAAACTGGAAGATAATAGAAAAATCACGGTGTTGTGTAAGTGGTAGTATGATGGGCAACTTCTTTTATTTTTCCAATTTTATATGAGTCAGCTATTTTTATAACTGGAGTAAAATCCTTACAAACACATCTATCCAGGAACTCTAAAATCACAGCCATGTATGAAGTTTGGGGAGGTAACAGATGGCCCTACATACTACAACAGTGTCCAGTGGCACCATAAATCCTGGGTCAGGAGGGGCAGTTCAGACTGTGTCTGGGAGTCTGTGAAACTTAAAAAGCAGGCAATTCCCTTTAGAAAGTGGAAGTGGAAGGAAGTAATAATAAAATGTCTGCTTCTTTAAAAACCTCTTTTATCTGGACAGTTTGCTTTGGTAGAATCCCCCATTCACCTCTGATAATAGATAAGATCCTGTCATAAGGCAGTAAATAACCCCAGGTAAACCTGCCTTCTCTCATTTGTTCTACAAACCTGGGAAGGTGAGGAGGGTTAGCATGCACACGTCTGTTTGCAAAGAGGAAACCCAGGTACAGGAAGGAATATGGGCGTGCAGGCTCTGAGGCTATAAAAATTCCATTCGCTTTAACTTTGCTCCTGGGAGGCAGACTGCGCTTTTTCTGTGGCTTGCCAATAATGATATAAAAGGTAATGTTATCATCCTGTCTTCTCTTGAGAATTTCCTGGACATGATTAGATGTGAAGTAAATGTTGTATGCCCTGGGAGGAGAAGTACGTGTTTTCTCACTGCCAATTCCCAAGTACTTGGACTGTAACGAAATGCTGTCATCTGCTTGGTTTTTCAGGATTTTGCATTGCACGATGGTTGTGCCTATGATCTACCTCGAGCCTTTCTTTTCGTACATCTTCCTCAACCTACAGCTCATGGTCCTGCAAATCCTTCACCTGTACTGGGGTTACTTCATCCTGAAGATGCTCAAAAGATGCATATTCCTGAAGGTAAGGGCTGCCCAAGGCTTTACCGCTCTCACCAAGCTGGCTTCTGTGCCGGATTGGGGGTAAGGCCCAAACGATGGAACATTCTAGTTAATTTATAGATGACCAGAATTCCTTTTTCTTTTCTTGATTTGATCATTATTGAGAAAAATTTCGCCAAAATCTCACTCATTTTGTCATTAAGCAGGTCTCTAAGGTGCTTTTAAGAAATTGCTTTTGTTAGAGGACGAGTTACTTAAAAATTTTTTTATCTAAAAGTTTTGTTTGCTACGTGTAGAGGGTCCTAAGGTCTAATGAGTCTAAATTTGCTCTAGTTTGGGATAGCGTTAAGGTGATAGCTGAGTAGCATCTCAGAGTGTTATACTTTCCTCTGCTTAATAGTATCTAATTTGCACGAAATGCTCTCTCCTGAGCTTTCTCCTACCCTCTGAAATACTGGCCATCATTTGCCTATACTTTTTTTCTGAAAACATCTTTTTCCCTAAATAACAACAAACCGATACTGCATTTTAGACAATAAAAGGTTTTTTGTTTGTTTTGTTTTGAATTCCGTTCTGGATTTTAACTTCAGAACAGGGGAGAGGAGGGTTTCAGGAATGAGTAAGAGGCAATCAGGACCTTTGGGGAAACAACCTAGCATCTAGCAGGGGAATAGTCACCTACGAGCAACTACCTACATCGTCCAGAAAGTTCTGTGCTAAGGAGAGGTCCCAGAGACTTGCGGTGGAAGACAAAAAACAGGTGACTCAAGGGGACCAGGGAAAGTATCACTGAAGAGATGGAATTTGACTTGAACCTCTAAGGTAGGTAAAAAAAAACAAAAACCAGATCACAGCTCTTTCTTTGCCTGGAAATCATACATCTAAGGGCGTTATGATTCAGGATCTTTCAAGGTCAAAGTTACAGTTGGCCCACCTTCAGGGATGACCATCTACAGCGTTGTATCATCATCAGAATGAGTGGCTTGTATGTAAAGGATATGCTGCTAATTTGTCTGATGAGCTCATTTTTTATCAGCTCTGATTAATTCATTTTCCTACAGCAGTAAATGTGTCTCAGGGATGACTGAAGAGTTGACAAGTGAAATGAACGTTGTAATCATTGACCTTCTACCATCTCTTCGCTTCTAGATCTAGACAGAGGTCTAGGAAATGGGGCTACATCTGGATTAATCTTAAATCCCTAAAAGTTGTGTTGTTGTTTTTTTAAACGAAATTACTGACTTGAGCTTATTTTCCTGAGAGGAGGCTCTCTCCATTGAGGTTGGCGTGCCAAGAAGAAATGTTCATTGAATGGTTCTAGTTTATTAATATTCTAAATAGTTTTCCTATGATCTCTGCAAAAGTTATTTTATCTCTAAGTGACTGAAAAAGTTGGAGTGACTGAGATAAGGGTAAGAATTGGAGCAGTTAGTCAATTGCACATGTAGGGGCTGGAGGAAAGGGTGGATATCGAACTAAACCTGTCCTACTTTGGGGTCAGGCCTTCCTGGCACTCCTGTCCCCCCGCAGAAATTGTTTCCTTATTAACTGGTGAGTGACAGTAATTTCAGGCCTGGAAGGGAGCCATGCAGAACACAACTTGGAGACCAGAAGATGCTCTTGTATGGTCTCATCATGACTTTCCTGTGTCTGATCTCTAATGGGTTGTACCAGGTCTAATTAAAATCCCGGCGGGTCAGGGAGCTGTGGACAGGAATCCCTGATCCCTCATGCTGTACTTTGCAAAAGCTGTTTCCAATTGCAGTCTGACAGCAGCCGTGGAGGCCCCGACAGCCCTCATTGCTGCAGCTTGCATGACTTCAGCTGGCCTGCGTGTGTGCGGCGGCGTCCATAGCAGTGGCAGGGCTGGCTGTGAAATGAGCCGATGCCTCCAGAGCCATAAAGCTGCCTTTTAAAGAATGCTATTTCAAGACAGAGCTGCATTGCACGGGGGCGGAGAGGGACGGAGGCGGGAGGTGAAAACCTTAGAGGCACAACCAACAAGTCGGGTTTCAGCTCTATTTAATAAATATTTAGCATTTCATACCTCAGCTGTTACTAAGGTGACTAATTCTTGGATATCTAATAAATGGAATTGCGGAAGTTTGTAGGCCTCCAAAATTTTCCCTTAAATCTTGTAACAGAGATTGAGAATTAGTCCCTTCAAGTTTCTTCTGCCTGGTAAGGCGCTTAATAGGTAATTTTGAATATGCAAATGCATAAATAATTTGGGACGCAAACCACACTGTTGTGGGTGGAAAGTTACAAAACTATTTATCATTCTATGGCCTCCATGAGTTTGCATGTAGACTGAAAAGACAAAAGTGATGATGCGTCTTAAAAAGAGTGATTTTTTAAATAGTCACATCTTGTTTTTCCTACACAATAGGGTTGTTGCATGCATATGATGCATGAGGACCTTCCACCATTTGCTTCTGTTAGCGAATCCCTTAAAATGACAACATCACTATAATTTCAGGACATTCATGTATATGGACCATAGTTAGCAGGCATCTTACTGCTTGAGAACAAGACGTGGCGCTGAAACTTAACTAGTTCCTACAAAATAGGTGACTTTGTGATGAACTGCCAGCCCACACATCCTATCATGAAGTACGACGAGCTGATGTGTTCATCTTGTCGTTCTCTTTGCAAACATGGGAAGTGCTTGCAGAGGAAGTCAGAAGGAGCATGCAGTGTGCTTTCGTTTAATATCCCTTAAGAGAACGTGATCACCCTCAAGCTTTTATTTTCTTCTCTCTAAATATCGTTCTGGGTGCTGGCCAACCCAAGCGTGTCTGTGACATCTTAGGTGGGTGCAAGCCACGATAGGGAGGAAGAGCTGAAGCTTGGGGCCGTTCAAGCAGGATGGAGAAGCTCGCCCCTTGCAACCCGCCCCAGCCATCTGCTCTCAACAGGCAGTGCCTCTTAAGTTCACAGAACGATACTTTACACATGCTGAACTGTTTTAGTTAAAGAAAGGAACCCTCTCGTAAACATGAGGAAACTGAGGCCTCCACCAAATCTACACAGTGATTTTATGGCAAAGCCAAGACTAGAATCTGACTCTCTTAACTTGTAATACTCCCCCTTCTCTCATTATTCTTTATTTGAATACAACCAGAAAATTAATTGAAAATACTTGTATGAAGTAAAAAATAGTGACTACGTAATTGAGTAAGCAGGATCGTCAATTAAAATGCTGCACAAATCCTTGAACTTATTTTTGGACTTTTTAAAGGCATGAGAACATGTTTTGTAATTATTTTTTTAATTCCAAATAACTTCCTAGGAAAGCAATTAGGGTAATGGCTAAGGGTACAGGCTCTCTGGAGATTCACATCTCAGATCTTCCATTTCCTGGCCGTGTGATCTATTCATCACCTCAGTTTTCTCACCTGTAAAATGGGGATAATGATATCGGTACCTGCCTTGTAAGATAAAGCCCTTCTATCCCTGTCTGTCTGGCACACAGTAAGCACATGATAAATGTTAGCTGCCATTATCATTATCATTATTACTATTTCGTCGGGTCCTTTGTGCCAAATCACAGAGCGCCTGTGAGTTCCAAGTAGTCTGGCAGTTGGCTGTCAGCCAAGCCTTCTCTTCCTGTCACTTAGATCATACTGGTGTCAGAACCCTTGACTTACAGCCAAGGGCTCCAGTGACAGTTTCCTAAACTGCCTCCTGCCAGCTGACTTTCATGACTCACATTCTAGATGATCCTTGTTGACACTCGCACAGACATCAGCGTGTCAGGGAGGAAATACCAAATTCGTAACATTCAGGGAGTCTTTCATTCCTAGGTAGTAGTGGACGTAGAACCTGCCGTTGGCTGAAGAAGACATCAGAAAAATACCACAAAGGCTGATGACTGAAATAGAGTATCACCAAAATGCTGTCAGTTCACATTTTCAGATTTCTGAACATTTGTATAGATTATCTAGCTTAACAAATCTAGCCAAGAAACAACAATGGGATTCATAAACCTGTCACGATGCCAGAAATACCGGTGCAAAGTTGCTCAGCCGAAAGAATTTCAAATTTGAATATCCTTCCCTGCTACGCGTTTAGCTCATCCACAAAATAGAGAATCCTGTAGAATTTCAGAAATGGAAGAGGCCACTGCGTGTCTGTCAGGCCACCAGGATGTCTCTCCTCAAGGCCTTACCAGGGGATTCCAGTCTGTCCCTCCCTCCCACATCACATCATGGTCTCAGTTCTATAGAGGAAGTTGAGTGAAGGTGAGTGAAGAAGTTACCTGACTGACCCAAGGTCACAGAGGAGTGCAAAGTCAGGCCCGTGGGGCCGGAGACTTCCGCGGCCAAGTTGCTGATGCCGTGCCCTCCTGCCTCCCGGGGGTTCTGTATTGTGAGCACCTGTCCTCAAAACATGAGTGACACTCGTGTGTGTGGTTCTCTGCGTGCTTACTTAGTGTGACTTATGCTCGGTTCTCGCAAACTTCATAATCTTATCATTGACTTTGCTCAGTTCTTTATCATTACCTTGCAAATAATCAGTGAATGAATTCCAGCTCTCCGTAGAAAACCTTAAGGGTACCCCCTTTAGGGGATTTTTGGCCTTAAAGCAATCATAAACCTGGGCTTTTCTAACCTGAAAGGATAGAGTTGTTTAAGAACTAGAAATAAAACAGGCAACCATCTGCGGGGCTCTAAGGTAATAACAGGAAGAAAATGCATCATGCATGAGAGGCAGGCCCACCAGGATTCCCGTTGTTTTGTCTTTGGCTGGGAGGCCTCAGTAATGGACCCACAGGCACCAGCATGGCACCCAGGTGACTGCTCCGGAGAAGACACACCTCACAGTCACACTTTGAGATGGAAGCTAAAGGAGGGTTTCACCTGCCAAATGGGGAAACAGGCTCAGAAGGAGAAAAGGGGCTCTCCAAGGCTGTGCAAATCAGGACGGGAACCCACACAGGGCCCTTTTCAGTAAATACCTTTTTTCTTCACCACGATAACATTATGCGCGCATTTTCTTATCCTGGGATGTTCAGTCTCA